TGTTTCTCTGAAAACTGATCCAGACGTCTGATGACTAAAATCATTCATCCGTTTCAAATCTAGAGTTAAACAGCACAGAGATCTAAACAGTAGATGGTAAAAATGTGGTTGAAAGGGCCAGTGTGTAGGATTTAGTGGCATTGAAAGCGCTTTGAGTGGTCGGAAGACTAGAAAGGCGCATATACAAGTACAGGTCCATCTTACCATTTACGCATTTACATCTAGTGGTGAAGTTGCAGATTGCATTTAACTGAACACCACTCGTATCTGTATTTGAGGACCAGGGAATGAGAATCGCCTGTGTGTAGTAGAAAAACATGGAAGGCCAGTGTTTGGTTTTGTCCATCCTGGGCTACTGTAGAAACATGGCAGTTCAAGAAGAAGATTTACTTTATTAATCCCCAACAGGGAAAGTATTATTACTTATTTTGCCACATAGCAACACTCCAAGAACAGTTACAGGTTAGGTACCTCAACAGTGCCCAAGAGGTGGAACTTGCATCTCTCCAGTCCACACTCCATACTTTAGTCCGTGCTGGACTCGAAATGGTGACCCTCCAGTTCTCAAGCCAAGTCCCTACAGACTGAGCTACTGCGCCCCACAACAACATATGATGTAAGCCTCCATGGAAGGCGACCCACGGTATCCATCTCTTTCTAAGGTAGCAAAAACACAGTGATTCTTATATTCAGGTGATTATACACTAATGAAAACATACCTATGAATATTCCATTTCGGACAGTTGACAACAATCCTTATAAATGTTACACACTGGACCTTTAACAGGTGAATCTGAAAATATAAATCAGTTCCTGCAACAAAACCATCTATGGCCAGAGCAAGGTGAAGCAGAAGAGGCTAAATTAAACTAGCTTGAAGGCAAATTTGAAAAAAAATTTCATATAAAAACCCAAAAATGCAATGTTTTTTAAAACCGGAAAAACATACACACAGAATCCTCAGTTCTGGTGGATAAACACCCAAATACTTCCACATTGTTTCTTTTACACAACTGTCAGCTTGCTCTGATGGTTATTGAGATGGGACACAGCACATAATGAGGCTGCAGGGCTGTTAGAAAGCAGCAATCATTAAAAAGCAGATCACCTTCAGATAAAGCAGATCAAGCATACAGTTAATTTGAACAGAAGACATTGGGGTAAGTTGTGTTTTAAAGAAGCACTCTGAGTAAATCCTCTTGTCTGTTATCTTCCTCCCAGTGATGTGGGAGCGCAGCAGGGAGCTGTAATGGAGCCCTCTGTGGTCTCATGTGGCTACTATCAGTCTGATGGAAGATGCAGATATGGCAGAGTTTCTGCCTTCACCTCACAAACCCTGCTGTGTTCTCGTCATTCTCCGCTCTGCCCACTTAACAGTGTCACTGATAAAAGATAAAGCTCTTCTGATTGGAATCTGAAGGATTTAACCAGATTCCTCAGTTCTTCAGTGATGAAATGAACACAGAAAAGCTTCACGCTTCGGAACTGGATGCATGGCCATAGAAATGATTCTTTGATTCTGACAGGATTGCCTGCAGCAGATCACTACAGTTGGTCTGTAGCAGTCAGGTGTCAGTGATTAGTGGTTTGGTAATAGTTATAGAATTGATCATCACATTCAGGTCAAATTACTTTGAACTGCAGTTATTGAGAAGAAATTACATGGTGATTTTTGCTATTAGTAACATGATTAATTGGATTACAAAACAAATGTTATCTAATTTGAATGTTTTTGGATCACTTCAAAATCAAACATTGGAAATATTGCAAATATTGCAATATTGTTTTTTCTATTTAAACAACTAAAATCATTTTCAATCAAATTCATTTTGCATATTCAGTTAACAGTTGGTCACATCAAATGAAACAGAATGGGTCCTGTAACTACTTGTCCATTTTTCCCTGTTGAAACCATACTGTCAATGGTTGAAACTCGTTGTTGTTAGCATGGTTGTTAGACGTCCACTGGCATTCCCATGATGCCTTGGGTTGAGTCTGTCCACCAATCAGAGGCTGTGTAGTCCTTGGTGTGGCAGTTCTCAAACACATTGCACAATGGAATAACATGAGATTAACCCATTCCCCTCTCAATAAATAGAGCCAAGACGGTTAATGGAGCGTTGAGTATCATGGAAAAAAGGTTCATTGTTTTTTAAATGCCATATTGTGGACGTAATGAAAATGTAATCCAGTAATTCTTGACAATGTAACTGTAATCTGACACATATTTTTTTCTAATGTAATCTGATGACGTAATCCCGGTAACGTGATATTTACCATTTATTAAATAGCAAGTCAATTTTGTATAAACAACTTTTAATAAAATATCAGTAACATAATGTAGCTAATAGTATGGAAGGTCATAGAAGCTAGGGTTGTGACTGCCATGATGGATCCCATTAGATAAATCATTAAAAACTGGAAGCGCCTGGCTTCTGTTAATAATAATAATCTGAACTCAAAGGTCCACACACGAGCTGTTGGAGCTTTCAGTCTGTTTCATGCTGTACCTCAGTGAATTGAACTGGCTCATTCGCTGATGAAGATCATTAGAAAGAGAACGCAAGTGGATGTCTGAGTTGAGATTATTTTGTCACGTGAAATATTTGTAATGATATCAACTCTATTGGCACCAACAATAAAATCCTGCTTACAAATTAATTCATCACGGAGCCGTTAGAATAAGAGGTAGAATATACTGCTTTACTGTAGCCTTTTACTTCAATAAAATGTTGAACACCAAACATGTAGTGCGGTTTTCCTCACTGTGGTGCTGTGGGTGTTATTGCTGGTAAAGAATCTCCAGCACCGCAGCGAGCAGCCCTGCAGACTGCAGTAAACTGGGGCCCAGTATTGAAAGCCTCATGCTGTATGTAACTTTAGCATGTGTCATACAGGAGGTAAAATGTCATGGGGCCCCGCTGTCTCCATGTGTGTCTTAAAAAACTACGCCAAGGCATGTCTATAAAACAGCCCTGTGTGTGAGTGTGAGACACACACAGATGATAGACAGCTTCTCCCCAAAGTGACTTTGTTATTGGTTTGATGGATTCAAAATCATACGTTGTGCTTTGTTTGACTGGTTGCATGTTTACAACAGAGCTGATCAGCAGCTGTTTACAGGAATATCCTATAATATATAATATATTTTATTACAACAGTAGCATTAATTTGGAGTCTTGCTAGCTAATTTTAGCTTCTTTAACTCCTGAGCTAGCACCAGCTAGTTGCTAACTTTGTCTGTCAGACATTTAGTGCGAAATAGGTAGTGTTAGATAGATCAATAGTTTACAACCTGGGGTCAGGACGCCCACTAGGGGTTGCCAAAGCTTCATGGGGGTTTGCGAGGCCGCCTTGATTTGAAGAAGTGTGCTAAAAAAAACAGTTGGCTTGTATTTCAACACTTGGTTCACTTCTGTGAAGAAAATTTAATAAAAAGTTAATTGTCTAATGGAACACTGGCCAAGTGTCTGTGACAAGAAAACTGATTTTATCTATAAAAAAAAGCCTACTAAATTTCTTAAAAATTAGTTTAAAAAATTAATAATACAGACACAGAGTGAGTAGAAAAATAGAAACGGCTGTACATTGTAATTTAATGTCATTACAGACATCAGCCATTTGCTTCCTGCCAAACATTTGTAGAGTTGATCTTTGCATGTTCCCTCATTCTCAAATCGTAAAACATGAAGCCACTAACAACTGAAACTAACATGTCTTTTGTGAAGAAATGTGGCAATGCTAGAATAATAAATCAAACAAGGATCACTCTTACACACACACACAGAAACGCAACTGCACATAAAAGTCACATCACACAGATCATCTACTATGTTTATCAGTCTATGTTTATCAGTTATCAGAGTAACAGATAACTGTCCTTGTTAACTCTATGTATAAAAAGGCAAATAAATGACCAAATATATACTACACTATCTATACTCTATACGCTATAAAATTGCAGCAGTAATGACAATACTGCCTTTAATCTCAACACAATTATAACAAATGTGAGTATGTGCAGTCATATCCAGACAAAAGCTTAAGGGTCATCAGTCAAACATCAGCATCAAGTCCAGATCAGTTAAAACACTGGGTTGAGACTGTGCTCATCTCCCTGCCCCCGCCCTGTGTCTTTACAGCCCCGCAGAAGGCAGACAAAAAGCAGAGTATTGACTTATCCCAGCGTTTGCTTCAGAGGCCCCGTTTTATTGTCCCTGCAGGGACCTCCATCTAAAAGAGAGGGATCACACACACACAGATCACAGAACCACCAATGAGATTCAACCCAGCTGCTTCACAATTTCCTTCAGGGCCTACTTGCAGCTACCAAGTGAGGAGATTTATTGTTGTTGATATGATATTATTATTGATTTCATTAATTGCACAATTAATTACTGGGGAGTCTTCGCTGTTAGAGCCTGTTGTGAAATGATTCCTTCCATGGAATGGTTACGAATTCCAGCACAGGACAGTCTGGATTACTAAGAAGGCCCAGCACCCTCAGGGCCCTGCAGACAGTTTCACCATCGCAGCTTAAATGCAAATCTCTTTGTATCAGAATTCAGCACGTAGGCACAATTAAAAACTGAAATCATAAAAAGCCCCAAGGTGATTCCTGCATTTTACCTGTAGTTGCTGTAGTGAATCATCCTGGCAGCCGATAACAGAACTCAGTTAGCACCAACTGGGACTTCAACAATGACTCCTAGTTGAAAACGGGATAATATTCAGTCTGTCTCCCCCCCCCCCCCCTTTTTTTTTTCAACCAGTTAAAATGCAGTTAAGCACAAAACACTGATGATGATCTTTTGTTCGGTTGTAGGTTGACAGAAATGATACATCAGTTTACTAAATGATTGAAAAAGTGTCCCTTAAGGAAAGAGGTTGGGAA